TAACCTCGTAACTTGCAGCCTAAGCCTGCCAACGGTGTTTTCATTACCACAGCGGCTCGTAACATGCAGGTTAGTTTTTTTTTATAAATTCAGCTCCTTAAGTGGTATTAGCTCTCTTTCTATAAGCTTCTCTCTCTGTCCTTCCTCTGCTTCTCATGGTTAGTCTTGCACATAGGTTTATAAATTTTCAATCCTCAAATGATGACACTGTTTTCTTTATGCTGATCAACAGCATAAAGATGAGTTTGTTTCTGCCATTTTACTGCCAAATGATTCTACCCTACAAAATCTTCAGATGATTCAATTGTTTTCTGCAGTTTGAAGTTTCTGATGACTTCCTATCACATTTTTATATGTTCTGCAGTTAATTTCAGCTTTTTTCATTCAGCAAAAGCATTCCTACTTTGATGTTTCTCCGAAACAGCTTTTTCTAGTTTCTATCCTGCTTGTTGCTTGTGCCAAACACTGGAGAGGTACATATTTTTAAAGGCAGGTTTCGCTAAAGAAGACACAAATATCCTAGTTAAACCTGTCCATCTAGTTAAATACCTCTTACTGTACGCTTTGTTTCACTGATTAGATCTAGTGCTCAGACTGTTCTAAAGTCAAACTCACTCTAGTTAGAATTTGTCTCAGAACAACATGGTTAGATCCACTCTGTATTTGTTTTTGTTCATTTGTTCTTTAGATAATTTAAAAAACACACATTTCAGAAGGTCCTCTGGTGATATCACACCAGGCACGAGACAACAGACCAGTTCTTATCATTTTTATTATCATTTTCTTTCACTTTGTGCGTCTTTTAAAGTATATTTAGTTTTAAAATATTTTATTTTCATTTTTAAAGCTGTACAAGGTGAGCTGTATTTGAGAACAGAAGATTGACTTCAAGAAAAAATTAACATTAAAAAAAGAAGTGGTTCTTTGATAAGGGGTTTGTCTGGAATGGTCAGAATTTATTTAAATAGAGCTTCAGTGATTCTTTTATGGAAAATTATAAAACATTGTGAGATTGTTGATATATTTTTTTATGTTAGAGGTGGTGTGTGTGCAAAAAGTAAAACTTGCAGTATCTTAATAAAATAAAGTTTTTTTTGGTTTTTTTTTTAGGTATTTGTAAATTATATATAGTTTCTTTGATTTAAAATCCGTGCTGTTTTTAGCCAAATATTTGTATAAAAAATGTATGTTTCTAAGTTTGCTTAAAAAACAACACTCTGTAAGCTTGATCCAAGCGTGAGATTAGGTTGGGTTACATTAAATGATTTTCTTCAGGTCAATATACAGCTCTTGGTACGTATTGCTGCACCGTGCAGGCTACGTTTCTCATAAACTCACCTATGTTACTGAAGAGGGTTGGATAACCAGGTTCTTTGCCAGCACATTTCAACGTAATGGACCTTCATGCCTAAAGTTGTCACCATTATGCTGAAATTATGCTCATTTTTTAGGAGCCTATGAGTCCTAATAATTTCATGGTCGCTATCAGACATATACTAAAAGTTATTTGGTATTAATTGTTTGTCTCATGCAATTTTTTTTGTTTAAATTGTTTTTAAAAAAAGTAAATATTACAGTAATTTATGTTAATTATTAAATATATTATGACAAAACGATGTGCTCTCTCTAGTTGCAGCCAAACCAAGTAAACCTAAAGCGATGGAGCCCCTCACACCAGCAGCCTACAGAGGCCCCGTCCCCATACCGCCACAAAGGCCGACAAAGACCGCTAACAGCTTTCCTAGTGGAGACAATCAAGCTAAAAGTATCAAAGCTCTAGTGTCCAACCTAAATAATACAGCAGCAAATCATAATTCTACAGGTAACACAAAGATCCACATGTTTACAAATGAAATTTTTGTTTGCAATCTTACAATTAATCTTTTCTTGCTTTGTTCATCTTTGCTATTCATTTGTGTTTACTTATCCAACAAGATTATGCATATGTGGACAGTTTAAAGAACACTGTTAAAGTGGAAGAGGAATCAACAGAATCGCATTGTTGCCTCCAGGGAACCGCCTCCTATCCCGACTCTACCTCTCCGTAAAGCATCCTTCCCTCCATCCAACCCTCTTCCTCCTGCACCCATCCCAAAGGAGTCCTCTGCAGCCCTACAGGCCAGAGGCAGCTCCATTATACCCAACACCAAGTCAGAGTAAGTCAGGCTGGACAACTTTATGGTCGGTGTAATTTTTCTGAATTTTTATTGTCTTTTCAACATCTCAACTCTTTTTCCATCCATTAGGTTCAAGTCTGAGTTTGGCTACTCAGACAGACCAACCTCTTGGTGTGAGAGTCCGTCTACCAACAGCATGAGACAGGCCATGTTCTCTAGCGAGGCAGGCGAGAGAGAAAACCTCATTAAACACCGCCTGGGGAAAAAAGAGAAGGAATACGTGGACCTCCAGCCCTTCAGGTGAGGGGAGCTCCCTCATACTGGGAGTTGAAATGGGAATGGATGTCGCTAACTGGTGCTGAACTATAATGCTTCCAGAATAAACCAGGAATCAATGGGAACAATAAGTTATGACTTATGACTTTTCTTGTTTCCTAGCCAGATCTAAGAGGATTATTATAAACATTTTTAATAAAAAATGTATAAATAAAAGCAGAGACATAATTGTAACAGTAGTTATAGCAAAGAGTGTAAATGAAAAATCAAGCAGAAATATAGTTCCCAAATTATTAAGATGTGTGAATATGTTTCCCAAATGAAATGCAACTGTTGGCACTTTCCATGTACAGTTGAACATTCAGAGGCAGACCAAAAGAGCCTTTACAGACTTCATGGAGGGAGAGATCAACTTCATTCCCACATACAAGTATGACAACAAGACGGACCGATATGACTCAAGGTAAAAAAACAAACAAAAAAACATGATGTGCATCAGTTTGTTTAAAAAAATAAAATAAAA